ATGGCAAAAAATTGAAGATGTCTTAATAAAGCTGGAATAAACACTAACATAAAAGGGATTTATTTCTGAAAAAAAAAATAACAGAATGATAAATAATCTGTAAAACTTCAAAAGTAACCTTCCCAACACTGAAACAGAGAATGTTAATGACTCAAGAGGGAAGGATATCGAGGGAATGATAACAGTTGTTTAGATAAAGCAAAGTTAAGGGAAGGATATAATGACACACAGGAAAGAGAAAGGTGGCAGTTGTCGGTGGGTAGGAGGGGATTGCACAGCTGGTGGTTGGTATAAAGAATTGGGCAGAAGGACAGAGAGACTGACTGAGGAGAAGGAGAGATAGTTGACTTTGGAATCTTTAAACGCTGCTGAGGCAGAACAGGAGGCGTTATGTAAGCATCTATTAGTGTGTGTGAGCAAGCGATAAAGCATTTTTCTGCAGCCTTGCCAGAGCTGCGCAATGAGAGTTTCCTTCCCTCGTGATAAGCATTTCTTTCCCTGTCCTTAAGGCATCTTGCCCGAGGACACTATAAAAACTGACATATACACTAGCGAACACAAAAAAGCAATCCAGGCCTTTTAACTGAACATGTATCCAACACATAATATAGAGAGCAGTGTTTTTACAACAGAGCGCTGTTTGCAGAAAACATTCCTGCATGCCTCCTACGCTCCTCCTCACTTATGAAACTGAAATGAAATTTTGCCTCTCTTCTTCACCGCATATCAGGAGATGATTAATGTCTCATTAGAGCTCTGTACACATACACACACAGTGCAGATTCCCCCCATTAGTCTGCGCTTCTTCCAGAGACCTTTATTAGTATTAAAGAAGGAGTGATTCAGAGACAGCCACAAAGGTGCACCCTGAAAACTTTTTACTTTGATAGTAGATCCTCATTCCTCCGTGCCCCTCCAAATCAGTAGACAGTAAAGCTGCATAGTTAGATGATAAGCTGTCTGCTACAATCCTCTGGGGTTATAAATCACCTATGTAGCTCATAACCCAGATCCTGAGGCTGACCTAGCAGACATTCCAGATGCCTGCTTGCGTCCTGATCTGACCCTCCCCACTTGCATGACTCCATTCATTGAAGATGACCTTTAACCCCTGCCTATCAGTGCAAGAGGTTTAACCTCTTGTACTCTGGAGGGAAGAAAGGAGGCTACAAGCAAGGATGAAAATGTACCTTCTAATTCAGAAGGGATTTTTCAGACATTGATTTTATGAAAAAACAAACATTTTTAACATACAATTACCATTTAAAGTCCTAATTATAAATGAAATCATGTTTGATTGCCATATTTTGAAAAAATAACAACAGTACTATTCACCATTAACCAAATTTAGCAACAGATGCAGTTGAACCAGCACAGCGAGTTTGTTTGGCCCAAAGACAGGGCAGATATCTTTTTTAGCTTTTTAATAGTAGGACTGACTTTTAAGTGTGGTCGTATTTCGTTTTTCAGCATAGTGCTGAGAAAGATGTGATTAAAAATTGTCACCCTGTCTGCAAAAGACAGGAAGGAAATCCCTTCACAAGTACTTCCCACTATTTAAAAAGAATCAAAAATGGGAAATATGACAGTTTGCCAGTCTGACTTGTTAGCACATTGCCAGCGATATAAACTGAAGCCATCTTTGTAACCAACACTACATGTTGTCCTGTTGCTGCATGTGTAATGTGTGTTTTTTATGTGTTTTAACAGCACTGCAATAATACTGATAACGGTCGTCACTTTCCTCACTTTAACACTGACATTACGGTAATTTTTTTTAATCTCAAATCTGGAAACCCTAAAGTGTCATTTCAAGGCAACTATGCAACTATATCTCCCTCAATCAGGACGAAATGTCAGCACCCTGAATGTGGGTTAGACACCTCCACACTACAGTGGGGGTGGGTTAGATGTTCCTCTGACCTTCAACAATCACCAGTAATGTCTCCTTTGGGAGAAGTGTATTGGTAATGAGGTGGATGAAGGGGGATTGAGAGGTGATGAACTACATTCTGCCTGCTCGCCAGACCTAAAACCTGCTGGTGATTCTTATACAGACTGAGTCAGAGGCCGGTCAGCAATTATGTTAAAAACAGACCTGTTTTTCCCTCCTGGTGTCTTGTTTATGCTGATTCTATGTTTTCCATTCATGTTACCCTATTGTGGTAACGGTGTACCTGACCAAGGACCGATAAGAGAAAAGCTTTTCATATCGCAACAAAACAGCCCCGCCCCCTTCACTTCTTAGAGCTCTTTTAATGTTCATTCAAACTGGTCTTTGTTCTGTTATCAGGGTACTAGATCTCACACTGATGACTACTGACAGGTTGACGTGGTATACTTAGGATGTGGGTGAAAGGGAGACTTTGCAGAGCGAACATAAAAAAGAGAGTTAAAAGGAGACACACACACTAAGACCGCAGCTGACAAGACAGGTGGGAATGTTTAAAAATGTGCTGCAGTTTGACTATGTTTAGATGACCATAACCATTTGTGCCCAAGTAAATGTGCTGATTCTTCCTCTTCCTTCCTGCAAGATCTTTGTCCAGGCTTGTCTAAGGAATAGTGACCTACTTTGCGGCATTTGCAAAATAACAAGACAAGGTGTAAAAGTATCAAGTCGTATTGAAGAAACAATATGCAACTGACAAAGCAGTTAATATAAAACACACAGAGGACTGAGCGACATCTTTAAAGTAAGTTCTTTTTAAACACAGTTAATCCTGTCCCACACTGACGGTATTACCCAAGTCGGTGGAGAACCAATGAAAATAAATGGCTTTGTTGACATAATCTAACGCAAGGCAAAGAGTGCTACAAATGCACTGGGGGTTACACCCACATAGACAACTACCACTTTCCAACTGTGGCCAACACTAGCAGAAAAAACAGGTACCTTACACTGCAGCGCAGTGCTGTTACTTTGTGAAGGTCAAAGCCAGATTTGTCAAAACCAAATTACTGTGAGTGGGTTTGTGTGGCAATAAGAGTTCCCTTTTAAAGTGCTCTTATAATTTGTGATGAATACCACATGCATGCACATCTGGGTAACAGAGAGAGCTGAGATGAGCCAAGAAAATCAAACAAGCATTATGAGCTCTCCTACTAGAATCAGTACAAAATTCATTTTACGTAGAGATATATGTATTAGCTACCAAACAATAAAATATTGATAATTTCATATTACCAATATTATCTTGAGAGCTGGAAGTTCAAGTTTCAATACTTTCTTATGTTTTATAGAGCAAACAACTAATGAATCAATCACAGACCTAGTTTAAATCCAAATATGAATAATGACTAGGTAAACAATTTCATGGAGAGAGAGAGAAAGGAGATTCTATCACCAGCAAAACCAGTTGGAGCAGAGTAGAGACTAGAAGTTACTCCGAAAGGTCAATGGAGCAACAAAGAGGCCTCGCTAATATCACTGCGCAGTTATATAATGTTATGCAACCTCTTTTAGCCACTGCATAGTGTCAACCCAGACTATGTTCTTGTGCCTTGTGGAGATAAAAAGAAACATAAATGTTTCTAAACTGAACAGATCAGTAAAAAAAAAAAAGAAAGAAGAAGAAGAAGAAGAAGAAGAAGAAGAAGAAGAAGAAGAAGAAGAAGAAGAAAAGAAAAAAAGAGCCATTTTGTCTTTGTTTAACACTATCACCCTGGTTTTTAACGCACGCTCAGTCTTGCATGTTCCCAGGAGACACTCCCTCACATCATACATGACCAGCAGCACGTGAAATTCATGTGATGATGAGAGAAGGACGGAAAACAGTAAACGTGCGCTGTGCAAACCCCCAGACCTATACAAAAACGATGCCTGCTTACTATTTGTACCGATGAATGTTATTACATTTGCAGAAATTATCATACAGAACCTCTTAAAGAATTGTGACATTTGCATATAAACATATTCAACAAGAAGGTGCTCAGTTTTTATACAGCTAACAGGTATTTCAGCGTGAAAGTGCAGTCTGACAGGCAAACAGTTTTTGGACACGGACAATAACCCCAGCAGTTGTATAAAAAGAAGGAAAATGCTCTTAGGCACCACCTACAGCCTCTCCCAGTCCGCTTTAACTGTTACATAATCACTTTAGTGCAGTAGGCTTGTCTCAGGGTGCACGTTCTGCATGTATGTTTAACGAAGACCAATCACAGAAGGCTCTGGGCAGGAATACTCATGTGTCTCTGTGTGAAAATAGTGTGAAACAACTGGAGGAAAAGCAAACTGCAATGCACATGAAACATCTAATAAAATACACTCACTCGCACACACAGCAAAGGTGCATTTTACTGCCTGACATACAGTGAACACATCACGCTGATATATCCACTAGCCCGTCAAGAGAGGGTCAACAAAGATGGCATTGAGCTTAGGTGCAATCAATACATTTAGACATGCGAGTAGTAAAAAAAAAAAACTTTCCGAAATCTAGATAGTGGAGTTATCAGCGAAATGCACTGTCACTATTTCATGCAGTCTCCTTTTCACTTGGTCAAGCGCTTGAGCAATCCTGGCCCTCATAAAGCTTTGGCTCTTTTAAGACGAGTTTCGAAACCATTCTGGATGAAATACCAAACATGCAGTCAGTTAACCAGCACGCCCCCACACCATTCATGCCCAAACCACTGTACAGTTTTAGCCAGATGTCGAAGCATTGGCAAGGAACAGAAGTCCAGAGCTGTGCATGAAAACTGCCTGCAACACTTTTATCACCACATATTCAGTGCCAAACTAGTAGTGGGATGGGGGCTTAATAGAGATAAGAGCACAAAATCTGGTTTGATTGTTTACAATGTGCTGCATAAATCTATAGCTACAATCTATTCACATATGCCCAAGCTTGTGAATGAATGCAAAGATAAAAGTAGGAAACACATCAGATAACTATATTTCTTGAAGTTCTCTTTCATGCAACAAGGAACACTAGAGAAAAGAAAACCAAAGATTCACCAAGTGTCCATGACTATAGATGACATCAGCCTCTCCATACCTGTTTCTGGGGACAGGGATGTGGGATGATGAGAGGGAATATCTCTCTGTCTGTGGTAGGATCTGCCCTTGTGCTACTCTGAAGTTGTTGGTCGGGTCTGGCTGCTTCCCAGGGTTTCTGATGTCCAAATGCATAAAGCCACCTGGCAACTGCCCGTTTACACCCAGGCAGTGAGTGGGGCTTGCCCTTTTCAGGATCCCCGTGGAACCTGTGTCTTTTTGGTCCAACAGGCCATTCTAGAAAATGCAGCAAGAAAAAATTACAGTGAGTTTATCTCTGTTACAATCAGGCCTCGATTAAAAACATTAAGTCTAGCAATACCATTAAGTTCTTATTTAACTGAGCATAAGATTAGTTTTTCGCTAATTATATATATATATATATATATATATATATATACATATATATATATACACATACATACATACATACTAGGGCTGCCACAAACGATTATTTTGATAGTCGACTAGTCACCGATTATTTTTGCGATTAGTCGACTAATCAGATCATCATCCATTGGACGTAAAACTACAGCTTATTGCACCAGCAGCATCTGCTCTTATATAACTATCATTAGCTTACAGCTTTAAGTGTTTAAGGTCTGTGCTAACTAAAAATAAAGACAAGATGATAGTTTATTAAATTTTAATGAAATTTGCAGATTGTTTCGGTGAAGTTTAATAAACTCCTTGCTATCTAAAATATAACAGGACACTGGAGTATATTCTGGAGCATCTCACACTTCTGATAATCAGTTGTCTGGTTGACGTTTATTCAGCTGTGTAAAAACTATAACTTTAATCTCAGACAAACTGATTTACTCAGGAACAAATAAAATACTAAAAAAAAAGCCAAACAATAACATTTTAAGTTATCTAAGTGACTCATATATATTTAACCTGAGTAGCGGAAGACGGTGGTGGGTTTGAAAACGATTTGCGGGGAGTCTGGTGTTCTCACGGCGCTAGTGAGCCTAGCCCCCGGCTCGCTAACGAGCTAGTGGGTAACAGATGTCTCCGAAAACGTCGGAGCGCTTTTGAAAATATGTGGTGTCCTGATAAACTGAGCAGATATTTGAGGTTTACACAGCTACATTCTCGCCTGAAAATATGTTAAACGTTTATTTTGTGACCCAGAAAGAATAATAAGAGTAACATTAAAACTAACTAGCTGCCGCCATTGTTGGAAACTGCGCTGGGCCGCGCTATGAACTCTGGGACACAGCTGCTGCTTCTTCTTCTTCTTCGGGGTTTAACGGTAGCTGACATCCTTGTACATGCAATGCTGCCATCTTCTGTTTCAGTCCGTTATTACACTCTTAAATCCTGCCACTTATTCCTGCGTCTTTTGTGATCTTACAAAGCTTCAAACGACGCGTCGACTATTAAATCAGTCGTCGACGATTTTGATAATCGACGTAATCGTGACTAGTCGACAAATCGTGGCAGCCCTAATATATACAAGCCAGGGTATGGTGTTTTTTAGTGTAACCGTTTGCCTTAAATAGCTTCTTCTTTAATTTTTCCTTCCTCTCACTTAATAAACCCAAGGTTATTGTCCTCTCCACTGGACATGAACGCTGCTGAACCAACCAGAACAGAAGCAATCCTGGGTTAGAATATGGTTATCATTTCTGTTCCTGCCACCTAAATTACAAAACAACACAAATCTAGAAAAGTAGCTGTGTAAATCTGCTAAATACACATAACTGCCAGGTCCAGTGTCCAGTTTTGTGTATTCTGCGATGCAAATGGAAACTCTATTGAATATTACATGATAATATATGAAAATAACTAGCACATACAGTGTAAAAGTAACTATATGCCTCATTGTGTTATCTATATAACTGATTAACCACTAACTTTATAAAATGTTACAAATATACTTTGGCAGTCCAGAACTGCTTTCCACATGCTTTTTTCAGATTTAAAAAAGTTTTTAAATCTGAGGTGACAGAAATAAGGGCATGGCCACGCACACCAGACCTCTGGGATTGTCCTATAGTGTCTGCCACTGGGATGCAGAGTATCCATTGGGTTTTGTGGGTTGTGGGGTGGGGCTCCTGTGGCTCTGGCTTGTTCTGCTGGGACAATCAGATTGCGATCTTGGGAATTTGGTAGCAGGGTGCACTATCCTGCTAAAGAGAGGCTGCTGCAACCGGGGAGGGCCCATACTGTTACGGGGTGTGCTTGGTCTGCAAAAATGCTCCAGCCGGCAACAAGTGTCAGAGCCGCATTCATATGAATGGCAGGACCCAGTATTTCCCAGCAGTGTTACATTGTGAGGAGATTATTTTGATAAGTTGATGTCGTGGTTTTAATATCGTGAGTAACTGGCATATTTATTATGAGATTTATTTGCTGTCTGCATAAAGGCTCACAAATTAAATACAGGCACACACAATGCAAGTACAAGGCCGACGCAAACAACAACAACAACAACAATATATCACGTGTCTTTACTGTTAAGTCCGTGGCGTATGTGTAGTTATAGTCGGGCCTTCCCATGTCGCCAGGAAGCCCAAACTGTAGCTTCACCCTTAAGTTATGGGGGAGGGGGGTTGGGCTTGTAGTTTGACGTCCCTGCCCCCTTTTCTGTAAACTTTGCAAAGAGTGAGCCGCCATTAAAAGCGGTTACAGTACGATGGAGTTAATAATGATAGGAACGGGCAGGAATTGAAATAACGGGCGCTTAAAAGTTATTTAAAAATAACGACACAGTAGTGACGTATAAGCCTCACAGTCGCAACCGTTAAAACGTAATAACAGCACATGAAAATGGCGTAAAATGTCAAAACTTTGAAGTCACACAGCTTGCAGACACGCTAACATTACGTGGGCGATATTATCTTGAGCGGTAACTCGGGTATATGAAGGGACTTTACCGGCTAATGGAGTCGTGCGCACACGCGTAAAACATCTCAACTGCACTTACTTTTTCCACGTCGTGCAACAGCCGACCACCCAGAGACAGCCCGTTCCCTTTTAGAGGGGTCCTCTCGCCTTTAATCTCCGCCGCCAAGCCGCCGTCCATTACGTTTTTGTACGGCACGGCCCCGTTTGTGTACGCCGACATGGAACCGGTTTTTTCCACCGAAGGGACCCGGGTGTCGCGGAGCACCGAGCGGCCGGTCCGACAGTTAAAGTCCGCACCGCCAGCTCCTGTCCCAACCGACGACTTCTCCACAATATATTTGGACTCCATATTCAGACAAGGCGAGCAGGAGAAAGAAAACCAGCTTTCTAGAAATTTTAGTGCAAATTGCTGGAGTCAGATACATTTATTAGGATTGTCGCAAGTTGATGGGAACTGTCTGTGTCTTTACTTATATCCTAGCCTACATGTAAAGTTTTCTACCACTGCCGCCGCCGCTGCCCCAAAAAGCCGCCCGGTCAGGAGGATAAAAGATTGTTTTGCCTCTTTCCTCCAAACGGCTGCCACGCCCCCTCTGCTCCACTCCTATTGGTGCTCTGCATATATAAACATTACATTCTGGCACGCGTCCACCGCAAAGCTGCAGGTGATTGGCTAGTTTCACTCTGTCAATAACATTTTTTTCGAAGCTAAGTACTGTGGGTGGAAGAGAGAGAGGGGCGTGTTCTCAGTTTACCGGCCGGTGTCTGTCGACGCTGAGCCGGTCTGCGAGGGAGGCGAGGTCGAGAGAGTACAGGAAAAACAGCGTGCAGGCCTCAGCGGCTAACTGCGCATTTATAATTTTGCAATTCAAATAGCACTTTAGCGAGTTGCAAACTATTACACCTGAACTTCTCATTGTAGGCGAGTTATTATAGAAAAAATGCATACACTGCTTTCTCCTTATAAGTGACTTGGCCTGCATTAATGGGGAAATGTATGCTAATTCAAAAGTTAGCATTTTGGAAAACTAACACCGTCCGGACACAGTAGCATGAAACACTGCAACTCACTGCAGTAAATAAGGTCATTTGCAGAAGCAAGGTACAGATTTATGGTGATTAATTCAAATCTGCGTAAGCTTGACTTGCACTGCATTGCACGAGAGGTTTCAGGTCATATTCCTCTATTTTTATATGTCGTCCATGTGTCTGCTTCCTTTTTATAAAATGCCTTTTGAGTGTGGTCGGAAAGAAAAAAAAAGATTTCAGCAACCTTTCTTCATTCAGCATAGCTCCTGTTATTGAACGACACAGTACACCTCCCAGCTGTTCCTGCTGTATTGCTTAATTTCTCACACAAAAAAGCATTTTCTTGTAAGCTGCACTTTCAAATGAGAGGCCGCTGCAGAGCAGGAACCAGGTGTAGTTTGAAAGCTGTCACAAAGCAATGAAACTACAGGCAAAACAAACACTTTCTGATGTGCCACTTTATTAGAAAAGTAAAAACTCACTTTAATATTTTATGAAGGTTAATATAAAACATTACAATCTTCTGCATACAGTATCTGCACTGTCACACTATATTTTAATATATGAATTATTTTGAAACTAAAACCTGTGCTTTAGGAACATACAACATTGGCTACAGCTGTCACAGCAGTATTGGCCCATATTTATATAAGAAGATAATTAAGAAACAGGGTCTGTATCTGCATGGAAAGCATGAAAGATTTTGCATCCACAAAGTACAATGTGTCTGTGACAACCATCTCTTTTTTTTCAACAAATGTATACTGTATGTTACATTGCAACAACATCAGAACAGCAACAGTGTATTTTACACATTTACATCATCATACTGTATTTGTGCAATGAACATCTGTCTTGATGTGTGTATAACAACCAAACATATCCATCAGTGCTTTTTTTTCCTCTCGGGATAAAGGAAATGTGACACATTAGGTGACAGCCAAAGAAAAAGGATTAAGTGCGATAGCGGCTTCCAGCCGGCATTGTTTAAGGGAAGCTTCAACGGAGCTTGTTAAGCGTCTCAGCTGTTGGCCATTTCTCACATTAGATAATAGTTGAGCCGAGGGTGCATTGTTGATATCGGACTGGGGTTGGCGTGACCCACAGCCTCTGCCCTCTTCCTCAACTTCCATTTCGCTCCCAGTCCCTCAGAATAGCACATCAAATACCTCACCTGCACAGCGAGGGAGGAAGGTGAAGCTAAGGAAAAAGAGGTCTGTATTATAGAATGAACACAGCTGGAAAAGGGAGCATTATGCAAGAGCTGACCAAATGTAAGCAAAATGTGCTTCCTCCCCTAAACTGGAGAAGCACATGGTTGAATGTTGCTCTCTGTGCACACACTAGAGGAGAAAGAGGAGGAGTGTCCTGTGGGTCTGTGTCCATTTGCAGTGAGCCTCATCCAGCTTTATACTGCGTGTGCACCCTCACCCCCCACCCCCTCAACATGACACTTTCTTGCTCCCCCAGAGCAGAGAATAAACACAGCTCTACCCTAAACTCCCAGCGGCTCCTCCCTGTTAGCTCTCTTGCTCTGCTCCTCCAAGTTGTTGCTTTGGAAAAACTGCTTTGAGTCACATGGCAAAAAAGAAAAACAAAAGTACAACAGAAAAGATTAACAAACAAGATCAGTTATGTACCACAATATTTTTCATCTCGATATATTAAAGCATGCACTTTTTTTTGACCAAGCAGGAAATATTGCACCAACAACATAAACATACTGTTTTTATGGCAGTGGTATGAGCTATTCAACCAATAGAATTGTCAGTAGGTAAGAAAAAATAAACAGTGCATTAAAATACAGAGTGCATTTGTTTTTACATACTTTCTGACATTATTAATTTAATTTACTAACCTTACTAAACCTGTCTTCTCTCTGCATTTGGTCTCACAGTGAGATCAAATACATCTTATTACTCTCAGCCAGCGAGCAAGTTTGTATCCCTCTTCACTTCATATCTTTATGCCCATTTATTAAGCCTCAAATATTTTGTTTTTTTCCCCTCTGTTCCTTTTTTTTCTTCAATGTTTCCCCACAGCTACATGGGAAAGACATTGTTTATAATGGAAGCAAACTCAGGACAGAGGCTGGAGACATGGGTGGGGAGAGGGGCAAACTTCCAAAAGACACTCGCTGGTCATTTTTATGCCCAGCTCTTTATTTTCCTTGGAATCCAAGACTTCTGTTGCTATTTCAACCACAAGACTTAAATCTGGTAAGCTACCGGGAGCTCTGGGTTTAACTTAAGTCCAGAAAACGAATCAGAGCTGTGCTTTTTACGGCACAATAATGCACAAATAAGCCCAGCAGTCCTGCAGCTGTCCAGCGCTAAATTACAATGGTCATAAAATCAGATGTTTACAGTGCCCAAAAGATATGACATTAACTGCGCATGATGAAGCATCCTGTATTATTTTGGACACTCTTTCACTTCCTTTTTTTTTTTGAAAATATTTTTCTCTCTGTATTCACAATAATACTGTAAAAGTCTTGCATTGTGAAATCTATCATCCATATCACTCTTGGGAGATTCTTGCACAAGCCATTCAATACCCCTGACCTGATCACTTTTCCCTGCATCACTGCCAAATATGTGTGCATGTGTGTGTGTGTGTGTGTGTTGGGGTGTGTCAACATGCCTCTAGCTACAGATGTCAAATTTAGGTGGATTTTTAGCTAATCTCTTCATTCAAGTGGAGGTTACACTATCGAGCCAAACATATGCGTCGTGATTATTAAGTGGGCTATTACCAAAAACTGCTAAAAAGCTTGGGTTGGATCATTTCTGAGGACAACATCCTTCACATTTAAACAGGTCTACAAATCATAAGCCAGTATTTGGACACAACACCTCAATCGCGTCTTCCAGGCAACAGGTCGGCGCACAATGAAAACCTGTTTCGAGTGTTTATTTTAGGGAGAGATAGCACCGCAAATCTCTGTGACATCCATGTGCTTAAGAGGAGGCGTGTACATGTGTGTTTGTGTGTGTATACTGTGGACAATACGTTACAGTGTGCCTCACATTCCTTGTACAATATAGCCAGTTTCACTGCTACTACTATTTTTATCTGTTTTTAGTTGCACAATGCATGCACATTTCTTTATATTATATTTTATCATACTCAGGACAGAGTATAATATATATATATAAGTGTGTTCTTCTGAGGTTGTGAGTTACACCACATATGCTTTAAAGAGTTTTCATATAAAAATAAAGATATTATGGAAAATGTTGCACAAACAGGTGACTATGGTGAGTGACACAGCAGATTGAAGATCTCTATCCCAGTTTTATTTGTTTGTTTGTTTGTTTGTTTTTTCAAATGATTTTAGTCCATATTTGGGCTGGACTAGGCTTAGGCTGGTTCTTAAGTACAGACCAATCAAAGGAAGTCTGAACCTGGATAAAGACCCTGTTTGTACCTGATTTCAACACAAAATGGATCCTCATGTTGTTTTACTATAGAGGGCCTTGTGTCTATGTACAGCAACCTGTTGTTCTGTAAACAGGAAAATCTCCAGACTCTATACCAGTGGGTTCTGGGCCCTTTTGCCTGTCAGTCAGCTACAGGCCTGTGACATACATCTCCATGCCATCATTGAAAGTAAAGATGGTGGTAGTGCTGTTGCCCCCTTGTTTCACATCACTGATGGTCTCATAGAAGTTTTCCCCACCAGGCAGGCCTCTAGTAGGAAGGGTGCTTGGTCCTGAGGCCTGAGGTGCTGCTGGTGTTGCCTGCTGCTGCTGCTGCTGCTGCTTCTTTCTCTTCAGAGTGGCACTACCCCCAGCTGTGCTGTTATTGGTTCCCCCTTGCTCACGTTTCCGGTGTGGGTCGATAGTCGCGTATGCAGGGTCTGACTCAGCCACTGGGGAAGACCAGGACCTGTCTCCTACAGGCTCGTAGCAGGGTTCCTCCTGCGAACGTGCTTGGCTCTGGACTCCCCTACCTCGGCCCCGAGAACCCATGTTTCCTCTATCTCCACCAAAGGATCGTGGGAGGGTCTTGGCTCCATTGTGTTCCATAGGAGGTTTCTTTTTCTGGGTTTTACATACGATAGAGTAGGTGTCTGCAATCTGAGAACACACACAGTAGGAGAAGGAAGATGTTGTTAGTTAATAACGCTGCACTACAACTCTATCCTGTAGTCCACTGATGACAGCTCCTTAAATAGAAGCTATGTGTTGGTGAAAGTCCGTAACCACACTTGCACTGGCATTTAAATAGTCACCTCTTTCCCAGTTCCTGAGTTATCTATATGTAGCTCCAATATTTTTGTAATTACCCGTTTTTGTCCACTTCTGTATGCATTCCAGATATAAAGGTATAATTTGTGAATAAGTCGTTTTGTATATACTACAGGCTCAGACAAATAATAATTGTCCGAGCCTGGACTGTGTACGTATGCAACAGTTTGTGTATGTGTTGACAGAGCTCTGTGCTGTGACCTGACCTATTTTTTATTTTTTTTTTACAGGGCAGGATAAGAAAGAGTAAACTATGTTATCAGTCCGTTAAGTTCTAGGCCGAGA